TTTACTCAATACTGGCCTGTGCGACAACTTAACCATTTTGCCACGACATGCCTCATATTATTACATATTAATAAGCCCTCTGACTGACTATTATTTCCTTAATGATAATGAGTAATGGTAATAACAATTTATTATAATATTGTAACCAATACGAGGCCAAGTGGAGCATCGTATTCAAAAATGAGTACAAGGAATGAAAATTAAAATCGTGTACATTACACCCAAACACCGCAACGCTCGAATTTCAAACATACGGGTAACTAGCTGTACTGTACTTTCTATGTAAATTGAGGGCGCAATTACAAACGATGGTGCTTAGCGAAATTAGATTTGCTAAATCTATGGCAGCCATCTTGGATGGTACACACACACAGTTCTGCGTATTTCGAACATCGAATACATTGCAGTTAGCGCTCTAGTATTCTTATTATATCTCCATGGGCCCGCCACAGTATAAGTAGCATGCGAGAGGGCGCCTCAGTTCAAGTCTCAGACCAAAATGCGAGAAAACATGTGAGTCGGCGAATACAAAATGGCCGCCCCCGTGACAACAACGCAGTAAAGTTCGGGAGGCAAAAAACGATTACTTGAGGTGAGGTTTAAGGGTCCAAAATTGTTTGGTTGTCCCACGGACAAGATGCCCTATAGTTCTGGTTGTCCGTGTGACATTTTCGTTGGCTGGGACAAGCGGACAAGCCTTATTTCGAACACTGCATAGGTATGCTAATAAAACGTTTTAACAGCCAATTTATTTACAGATTAAAACAAAAGAATTATTTAACTACAATAAGCCGCTATTTCTTATATGAATACATAGTAAGAGAGTGTTCCAACATGAATATTATGCTGTGGTTAATGTTTTACCGCTTTTATTTTATTTTCGACAAAGTGGGTTTCAGCGCAAACTGGATTTCAACAAACTGGGATTCGTAGTTTTTGATTCAGCAAACTGGCATTCGGCAAACTGTGTTTTGCGAAAGTGAACTCGAAAATCTGGCAGTCGGCAACTTGGGGTCTACAATCTGGCCTAGAACAGCCAAGAGCCGCACGAAAGTCTTCCTGTATGCAAAGCATGCTTTAACAAATAACAACCAAGGTATAGCAATCATCCGTTCCCTTTCTAGAGACACCGATATTACAGACGATAACAACCCGGCTTTCTTTCGTAAAGGAAAACGCAGCTTCTGTAATCATAAACTGAGTTTGTTGAAACTTTCAGCAAATTCAGAGTTTTTAGATGTTCAGCTGACACAAAAGTTGTCTGAAGAACAAGAATATGTCTCACTGCTGCTTGAAGTTAAGGGGAAATGTGTAAATCAAGCAAGCAACATGTTCAATAGAAAGTTTTCCAGAGACAAGATCACTGACATATCATTGCTGCCACCACATTAGCAGAATCTCGAGCTACTTAGCAAACGCAATCGTTAAAGAATGAAAATAAGCAGAGGTAAATGACTGTCAATAAAAATAGTTGATGGAACAGATGGAATGAACAAATTCCTGTGGAAGTCCAAGAATTGTTCATACCTGTACAATAAATACGAAGACTTTCAGATTGCAGTGATAAACGCGATACCTGAAGAATTGCTCAACATAGGGCTACACAGTTAAACACTAAAGGAAAAAAATGTAGTAAATGAATTGATGCCTTCTTCATGCATGAAAATTATGGTAGTTGTCTGGAATACTTTGTATAGCACACAGAAATAATGAAAAACAACTGTATATTTGTAAGGAAGCTGGCTTTTTTTTAGAAATCTGGTGATATTTTCCATTCTTCAAAAAAGAAAAGGGCCAATGTAAGGGGGAATTTTTACTTACATTTCCAAAAGTGAGTTAGCTTACCACCCTAAAATATGTTATTTTGGGTTTAAAAAGTCAACAGCAGTTATTACATTCATGTTTTGTAAATTAAACAAATTTATTTAGGGTATTGAAGCTGCTGTTAAGTTGTTCTTTAATTTTGGCGGCCATTTTAAAAAGCGCCCTCAATTGCCTCTCGAAATTTTCACATTAATAACTTTAGCTAGTTATACTTTACTCCTATCATTACATATTCAAAAGTTGGTCAAACCTACCACTTCTGTGCCTATTTTACCAGTTTTTTCTAGACCAGTTTTATTTTTTTTAAAAACTGGTCTAGAAAAATCATATGAGAATTTCTACCTCTCCAAGTGGCACCTATCTCAATTATAGCCTGGTCTACTTAGTTATGCCTGATTTTGAATATTGCAGTGTTAAACATTGCTCTGCTTCCGCCTTAGCTTCTTAGCTCATATTCACAGAATTTACGTTGGTGTTTTATGAAACGTTTTAAATACCCTTGTCCTTTTGTTCCCCCGAATTGTAGGATTTAATGCATGATATGATGTTCCTCTTCAAATGTGTTAATTCTGTCTTTAATTGTAATTTTGTAAATTGTTTTGGTCATCGGACTTGCAGAATTTACATAATAATCGTCCTCTTTTTCTGTAACCTTTAATCGTGTAAATATCTCTAAAATTACTTGTTCTTACCCGCTACCAATTCAATATAATTATATTTCTTCTCTGATAATGTTGACATCGATATTTTTTTCATGGTTATACCAAATTTTGTTAACTTGTTCTCGGGCTATATCTCTTAACCTTTGTTTTGATGTGCTATTTTTTAATGGGTGTTGATTTTCCCTTGTTTGTATGTCATGTCGGCTTTTTTTAACTTTATTTAAATATTTGTATAAATTGATATATTTATATATTATTTTTAAAATTTGTTCTTACCTGTAAGTCGCGTTTCTTCGCTGTAGGTGGAAAAAAATAAATAAAAAATTATGCAAACAAAGACAACCAAAAGATCTGGGGAAAACAAAAAATGTACGAATTAATCATACACCTATTAGCATTAGGGGAAAACAATATATATTATTAGATTTGTAAACTTACTCATAGATTTGTTAATTTCAGTTTAAATAATTGCTTTCAGCATGGAAAAAGGGTGAGCCGGCAAACGGAAACTTGTGTGCCGCACTTAAAGTACGACTTGGAAAGTGGATTGCAATTCCATGTAACAGGCATATCAAGATATTGTGTGAACTAGGTGAGTATATTTTTATACATGCGGAATTCAAAATTTGTATACTTCTGATATTTCTTACAAATAATTAATTTAAATACACAGATTAGTGATATTTTTGTGCTTGACAGTAAAATGTAAAATTATGTACATTATGCACAACACTGCAGACATGAGCTTATAAGTATAAGGTTAACCACAACAACAAATTATTAATATCATTAATAAAAACATATTATTGTTAACAATTAGTATTATCAATATTAATTACATTAATATTAATGTAAATGATATTGATGATGCTAACGATAATGATAATGGTAATGATGATAACAGCGAAAACAATATATATATATATATATA